AAAATAAAATAATGACTTTCCCCAGCTTATGGTTTTCATTATAAATCCCCAAAGCAAACATTTTTGTGGCTTAGTGATATTCACAAAAAATTCATCTTTCCAGGTTCTTCAAACCAAGTTGCCAATTAGACAACAATCAAGACCTTCCAGCAGGGTAGTCCCTGAAGACAAGCAGGAACCATCAACACATTCTACTTTTGGATTTAGCTTTGAGAAATAAAAAGTCACTGCAGACTTTCCTCGCTCATTTTCCTGAGGCTTAAGCAAAATATTTTAGAAAGCTATTTCTAAGTAGTTCTATGTTGGCGACAATGCAGATCACAAACTGATTTTGAAAATTAGTCACTCAAAGGAAAGATGGATAAAGGAATAGCAGATGCCTTCCTTAGAAAATGAATACTGGCGCATGGATCTGCAAGTTAGGAGAAATATGTATAATACTAATAAAAATTAAGCCATAGGTTCAAAGAAAATTAATATATTAGATATTAGGGAAAATAATATTAGATATTAGGGAAAATAATATTAAATATTAGGGAATATAAAATTGCTATATTAGGGAATGGGGATGGGTAAGGGAGACAAGAGGCAAAGACTAATCCAATGTGAAGGAATTGAAATGTTGCAATAAAACGATCAGTTTGAACTATTAGCCTGGAAGCATGAAAGATGCAAAATAATTAGGAAGCAGTGACAATAGTAAATTAGAATAAGAAAATGCCATTTTGTGGATTTGTGTGAGCCTAATAATATTTGAAAATGTAAGAGTACAAATTCAAGTTGCTATGACTACTTACTGATAAACTTTTTGATTGATATAAATTCTACAACATATTATATATAAATAAATCATATATCGACATTTTCTAGAAATGATGCATTTACTGACTGACTCTACCACGTGCTATAAGCAGGTAAATCACAGGATTGGGCTTGCTAACCTGGTATACATGTTCTGAATCCCAACTACACTGTGGCACAGACTGTCCTGTTCATTCACTGACCATGGTGCAGCCATACCCTGGACTCCACTGAAAGACAGGGAGACTGGTCTCTGAACAGTGCTTACATTGTAGTAAATCTATTCAATCATTACCCAAGATCAGATTCACAATGGAAACACCAGATTCTCATGAGTAACTTGAAGCAGGGAAAATATCTTAGGAGGAAATAATTCCATGTGTATTGTGGGGTGCTCATACTTTCTGAAGCTAAAAATAATTTAGGATGATACTACACCTATTTAAGGGAATTCTAAGAATTTTGGGATTATTCATACACAGTAGACATTTTTACATCAACAGGGTTGATGCGTTTCACTGGTGCTAAATAATGCTCCTGAAAGAAGGGAGTACTTAACTACTGAAAGTATTTTACTCATTCTGGCAAAAATTCCAGGATAAGAATTCAACCTCTAATTGTCAGGAGATCCATCTTTAAGAAGCATGTTATCATGGATTAATCCTCTAGCTCCCTGGTCTTCGTGCCACCAAGGCTGGCTTTACAAATATTTATTTTAGGGGTTGGAAAAAGTTCACACAGCATTTGGTAATAGTTTTATTTCATTTACCTCAAAACATTGTAGCTGTGTAAAAGCATTGTAGCTGTGTAGCTCACTGCAACTTTCTTTGTTGTGTTGTTCTCTTAGAATACCACAGAATTGAGCTAGACAGATCTTTTTTAAAGATGAAGATTCCCTGTAAATGCAATCTTTGCAATCAAAGCATATTTAAACCTCAGTCTATATTAAAAAGAAAGACATTTCTAAAAATACCAAGGGGAATCTGCATTTTTTTTTCCATTTGAGTAAAGAATAAGATAGCGTATGGTACGTAGTGGGTGGTTGCTCTAAACACGGCATGATATGTTCGACTGAAAATGTTTCACTGCTTTCTGTCCATGGAACCAGCACTGAAATCAGGGACTTCTTTCACAGCTGAATGTAGTAGGAAAAACTTCAACATCCTGATATTCCCCCAAAGTAAGAGTTATCAGTCTACGTTTGCTCTCAACACTGCTTCCTAAAATGGCATTTTGAGATAATTAATAAAAATAGATGAGAGTTATTGAGCACTTATGATATGCCAGGCATAGTGTTAAGTGCTTTATAGCCATGATTTTATTTAAACATCAGATCATCCCAACAACAACAACAACAAAAAAAATGATATGTTTTCCATAGTACAAGGTTGAGACTGAAGATCAGACAACTCACAACACCTAGACACCTTTGGGTTTACCTCTCCTAGATGGTCACTGGTTATTCCTCCATACTTAGAATGAAAGCACACTGAGTTGGTCACTTATTGGGCTTTTCTCCACCTCTGAACTCAGCAAGTTTGCCATCTTGAATCTTGCAATGCACCAACTTATCCAGGAGTTAATTGATTAAGTGTTTTAGAACAGAATTTCATACTACCCTCCTGGGATCCGGTGGAAATGCAAGGTCTGATTCCACACATCTGGGTCAGTCTGAGATTCCATTTTACCAAGACTCTCCCAGGAGACACTGACACTACTGGTCAGTGCCCCACACTGGGAGGGACAAGCATTAATGGAACATGTGCAATCAAGGACCAAACTGTGGAATGAGGTCTAAATGTCAAAATAAGGTATTAAAAGAATTTACAATAATGGAAAGAAATATTACAATTATACAATAATCATATATATTATGAAGAAATACTAGAAGGATCAGTATCTAAATTTAAATAGTAGTTATCGACGGTTAGGATTTTTAAGATTATTTCTTTTGTATACTATAATTTGTATTATTATTTGTATTATTATTATTATTATTTGTATTATTTCTTTTGTTTATCCACATGTTTTTATTTTGCAATTATTATGTTTTGGAATAAGAATTAAAAAATTACCATATATTTACCATATATCTCTATGGATATTACCCTTCAAGCACGATGTTTAGCAACACTGAGGTTGGGTGATCAGATGTTGTGGGCCTCCCAAAATAGGCTATAGGGATCGAACAGTGCTAAACATGAAATATTCTTACCAAAAATGACAACCCTGAATATCCATTGATAGAAAATACGACAGGTAGAAAAGCACTGAACAATGAACCCACTGGACAAATGCAGAAAGTGAGAAATTAGAATTAAACTTTAGAATTAAATTTTCTGCTGCATGGGCCTCCCTTGGTGGTGCAGGCGGTTGAGCACAGTGCTCTAAAGCTGTCCGCAGCCTCTGCAGCACCGGTTCGATCCCAGCAGGCCGGTGAGGGTCCCACAGCGCAGCAGACCTTTCCTGTCGCATCCGCCATCCCCTCAGCAGTATATTTTGTCAGTCTGCCTGTTCTGTTCCCCCCTCTGTCTCTGGTGAATCCTCTCACCCTCCCGCGCATCTGGCCTGTACCCTGGTTCTTGTATAAAACAAATAAATAAATCCAAAAAAAAAAAGTTTCGGGCCTCCCCGGAGGCGCAGCAGTTGAGCGCTGGGTTGCAAAGCTGCCTGCGGCTTCTGAAGGTTCGATCCCCGGCTGCTCCCTGGCCACCAGAGGCGGGTCCCACATGGCGCGCAGACCTCTCCTGCTGCCCGCTGCTCCCCTCAGCAGTGTACTTCGGTCCTTCTGCCTGCTCTGTTCCCCACTCTGGCTCTGGTGAATTCGCTCACCCTCCCGCGCTTCTGACTGTACCCAGTGCATGTATAAACAAAGCAAACAAATAAATAAATAAATAAAACATGCCTCTATTAAAAAAATAATAATAATTCAAAAAAAAAGTTTCTGCTGCAATGACGTGAAAGGGAGTGATCTATTCTGTATTCAAAAAGACTCAAGAGACATAAATGAACACAGTGTGTGCTGCATTTATGGGTTTATGAACTGAATGGTTTATGTCCCACACCACCACCACCAAAATGTTGCAGCCCTAATCCTCAGTGTGGTGGTCATCTGAAGTAGCATCTTTCGGAAGAAATTAGGTTTAGACAGTCACAAGGGTGAGGCCCCCCGATGGGATTAGCACCCCGGTAAGAAGAGACCTGGTTGGGCCTTCCTGGTGGCGCAGGCAGTTGAGCACAGCGCTGTGAAGCTGTCTGCAGCCTCTGCAACGCCAGTTTAAGCCCCACCGGCAGTGGAGTAACCCACATGGCTCAGCAGACCTCTCCTGTCTCGCCCACTGCTCCCCTCAGCAGTGTATTTTGTCAGTCTGCCTGTTCTGCTCCCCACTCTGTCTCTGGTAAATCCCCTCACTCTCCTGCACATCTGTCCTGTACCCCGGTTCTTGTATAAATAAATAAATCTTTAAAAAAAAAGAAGAATAGAGCTGAGGCCTCGCTTTCTATGTGGGGACACAACAAGAAGGCAGAAAACTGTCTACAGGCCAAGAAGAGGACCTTACAAAATGCCAGTCTGTTAGTCCCTTGCCTTTGGACTTCCTAACCACAACTGTTAGAAATAAATGTTTGTTGCTTAAGCCACCCTGTGTATGCCATTTTATTATAGAAGCCCAAACTGATTATCATAAGTAGCATCAATTGAACAAACCAACCATAATACTTTTTAATCAATCAATGAAATTTGGTTAAGCAAATAATATTGTTTAGGTGCACAAATTGTTTTGTGATTATAAAAGAAAATATTTATACCATTTAATGAAGCAGTCTGAAGTATGTAGAATAAAGTGAAATGATGTTGCAAGATATTTTTAAAGGCCTTAAACAAAAATTTTGTAATTTTTAAGCAAAAAACTGCTTTTTGGTGGGCCTCCCTGGTGGTGCAAGATGTTAAGACACAACCTATGAAGCTGTCCGCAGCCTCTGCAGCATGAGTTCAATCCCCGGCCAGGGAGCTACCCACATTGTGCAGCAGACCTCTCCTGACTAGCCCACTGCTCCCCTCAGCAGTGTATTTCAGTCATTCCATCTGTTCTGTTCCCCACTCTGTCCTGGTGAATCCTCTTCCCTCCCTACTACACCTCTGGCCTATACCCCAGTTCTTGTTTGCATAAATAAATAAATCTTTTAAAAAATTTCTTTCTTTAAGCAAAATGGTAAAATATCAATAGCTGGATATCACTTAGATAATCAAGATAGGAATAGGAATCTATGAAATCCACAGGTTCTAAAGAGAGAACAACATTATAATGAAGCTGAATAGATTCTGGTAAAGGTTGGATTCCAAATTCAGAAACAATTCATCCAGGCTACCTGAATTAAAGAGAAAATACGAGGTTAGTAACTGCCATGTATATAGTGTTTTATGTCTTGCATGTATTTTCAGGTACATCATTTTATTTCATCTTCATCAAATCTCCTTTACTTCAATTCTAAATTGTAAAGATTACTTTCTACCTTTTGCAGAAATTTCTGCAAATAGAGACATACTTCCTTTCAATGAATATTTGCTACATGCCAGACATTGCACTTGGAGCTGGAGATGTAAGTAAGAAATGGCTTTTGGTTTCCTCAACTTAGAATCTTTAAGTTTGAATTAATAAAGGTTCAGGGAGGTGAGAAAGGGAGGTGAAACTTACCAATCAGACCACATTTAGAGCTTTAAGTTCAGTAATGAATCCCACATTTTGAGAATAGATATTGTGTCCAGGGTGGCTCCCAAAATTACATCCTATAAAGGTGATGGAAGAAAATGGGAAAGTTTAGTTTAAAAAAGAAAAGACATGACACAAGAGAAAGTTTATTTTAACTCAAAATCAAAAGAGTCCTTTCAACAATGGGAGCCATCCAATAAGGGCGGCGCTGCAAGAGTTGTGCTACAGGCACTTTCGTTTAGGACCTCCTCCCCATTCTCAGACACTTTTTCTCATGAACCTTGAGGACATTATGCTAAGTCAAATGAGCCAGACACAAAAGGTCAAATACTGTATAATTCCACTTAAATGAAATCTCTAGAGCAGTCAAATTCATAGAGTTGGAAAGTAAAATAGTGTTTGCCAAGGACTAAAAGGAGGAACAAATGGGAAATAATTGCTTAATAGAGATGGAATTTCATTTTGGGAAGATGAAGAGGTTCTGGAGCTGGATGGTGACCCAACAATGGGAATGTGCCTGATGCCACCGAATTCTAAATTTTAATATGGTTAAATGTTATGTCCTATCTATTTACCACAATTAAAAGTCAGTAACTACCAGTTAGAGAGGAATAATAAATTCCTTAAAATCTAAACTCAGGATCCAACCTACCTATTCTTCCAAACTCTGTTCATAAGTCACACTAAATTACTTGCAGTTTCCAGAATATGCCCTACTCCCTCCCTCCTCCACAGCTGTACACACATCATTTTGTTAGCACCTTTCTTTCTGGGCAAGAGACAATCTAGCAGAGAACTTAAGCTGAGCTTCTGTACTTGCACTACCTGCATTTCACTCCCTCCTCTGACACCCCCCAGCTATGCAAGTTATGTTACCTTTCGAGTTTCCTAATCTGTAAAATGGAGAGAAGGAACAAATTAGCAGTTATTGTGAGGATTAAGGCAACATGTAAAACAGAATTGAGCCTGGCACCCTGTAAGCACTCCAAAACCTGTTATCTGTTCTGAGAATGTCTCTGATTCTTTTTGAGAATCTTCGGTTAGAGCACTATGTCAAACATCAGTAATGGTTTATACTGTAGACATAGAAGTTCCATTTAGTGAAATAGCACTGTCAAGGCTGTATTCAGGTAAATGTGAAGAATCTAGTTTTAGAGATCTTATAGAATCTTTGTATCAAACACCAATACTGTTTTCTTCAATGGACACAAGTTTGTGGTGAAGCAATGTCTAGAGCAGCATCCCATCTACTAAACTAGCACCCTTGCCCCTCCCTCTGCACTCAGATGGAGGACCTTTCATCAACTTCTCTTCTTAAAAAGAAATAAAAGTATCACTGTGTGCTTAAACATGTGACTCCTCCATTTGAACAGTGAGCTCCTGCAAGTCAGAAACCAACCATCTTCTGCCTGCTTATCAAGGGCCATGGCATCCTAGGGAGCAGTATTATAGAGCAAGCAGAGCCCCTGCAGAGAGAATTTGTGCCTGCAGTGCAAGACTAAAGCAGGAGCACTGAGGCCCAGAGACTCCCTGTCTAGTAGTCCAAGATTTCTGCAAGTCTACACTCAGGATCCACCTGTCCTCTTTGCACCTTCCCTTTGTGACAAGAAAAACCAGCACACCCTTTAGAGGACTGGCACTTACCTATCCACTCCAAATGAACACACATAGGTTTAGAAGATTCAGGTGTTCTGAGCAGAAAACACCAGTTGAAACAACTGCTACAATGTATTGAGGAAATATTGAATGTCTGCTTTGTGTGGGCTTGCATAGGAATTTAAGATATGGTGGTAATTAACCAACCCCCTGGGTCCTGTTCTTCTACAACCCCTTGGAGCTGAAATGCAGTTGAGGACCTGTGTCCCTGCACTGATTTGGGCTCTCATTATTCAAGTGATTTCACACTCTTGTAAAGGGGGCTCAGCACTTATGTTCTCTGCACAGCGGTGGAAAGAAGTTTGGCTACTGAGTACATCCTTTAATTACCTGAATGGAGTCAATTCAATGACAAGGTTATTGTTGACCAATTGTATGTGTAAAAGGATTTCCGTTTCCAGCTTCTAAGGAACAGGGGTTTTTTCTTACTTAAACCTCTACTTCTGACATTACCTTGAACTATAGGTAGAGCTAAGGTTTCCATTTATCCCCCCTCACCCTCATCCTCACCCCACCCTCTTCACAGGATATGTTAAGCCTCAGGAAGAATGCCTTAGTAAACATCATTTTCTGTTTAAACATGTTAATAATTGTCGAATTTGGTTTGGGGGAATGTTCTGTTATAACGGCTGTTAACAGGAAGGTCTCCAACTGTCAAATCACCTCACATACTGCATATAGAGAAAAATCAAGGTGTCCCAACGGTGGTCCAGTACTTCTCTGTGGATAGCAGTTGAGAGAGAGAGAGAGAGGGAGGGAGGGAGAGAGAGAGAGAGAGAGAGAGAGAGAGAGAGAGAGAGAGAAACTAGAAAGTGAGAGAACTAAGAGAATTTTTGACTCAAGACATAGTGGCACCCATTTATTCCCAGGCTCTGTTTTTACAACCCCCCCCCATCTCACAGGGGATTTTGTCAAAGGGCAGAGTTCTCTTTGGTAACCCTGAGAATCTGCATTCTGACACTCCCAGGTGATACTTATGTGGACTGGATCACCACTTTGAATTCAAAACTTCCCATATGTATTAATAAGAATAATTCATTGATTATTTCATCCTTTTAAAAAAGAAAGCAAACTGTAAAAAATAAATTAATTAAAAAAATTTAAAATCGAAATTCCATATGATTCAGTTATACCACTTACTATAACACTTCTGGGTATTTACCCCCAAATTTTAAAAAAAAAAAAAAAAACACTAATTCAAAGAGAAAAAAAAATAATCAACTTTTTTTGGTTTTAAAGGACTTGAGGTAAAAATATTCTAAACATCTCCAGTTCAACTATTATCATATAGTTGAAGTTTCTTAAGCAGGGTTCAATTTTAAATCATAAGGGAGCCACTTAATGAGAGAGAACCAAAAAAATAAAATAAAATAAAATAAAAAAACTGATTTGGGAACAGATGCAAAAGTTTTGTCTAAATAAAGAAATTAGGTTTTTTTATTAAAACCCAATGAAGAAATACTTTCCCTTTTATTCACATCTTCTAAGGCTTCTCTCCAGTCTTCACTATACAGATCAAAGAGGTGTTGAAGGTGAGATTAAAGATGACCTTCACTTTCTTTTTTGTCCCCTAAATGATATTTATTGGGTAAAGTAGGTTCACATCTTTGTATTTGCTCCAGCAGTTATAGATTTAAACCACTGCAAATATATATTTTCACTTTCTAAATTATACGAATACCTTTAAAGATAAAATTAAATCTCTACTTATATTTCATAGCTTCTGGGAAAACCTTTTATGAGACGGTCCCTGTTGTCATTGTTTTTATTACATAGATAGCATTCTTAATTTAACATTATGTATATCTAAATTGCCTGACTTGATTTAAATGAACCTAAATGAAAAATCACTTTTCTTTTTTTCTGTTCAAATGTTCAACACCTTTTGACTCTCTCAAAACTGAGATTGTGCAAATCCAGATATTACATTGCCCCACAAATTTAGATGATGTTCCATGAACCCTGAAGCTTTTCACAGCACCCCCCTCATTTCAGGCCCCTGATGACATATTTAAATAGGTTGAAAGTAAATGGTATAGGAAGAGCATTTCCCCATCTATTAAAAAAATGAAATAATCTCAGGAAATGCATCTGTGCACCCACGCCTATGTGTGAGCAGGCACATAAATGTGTCCAAAGGAGCACTGTGGCTTCGCACAGGACCATTTCTGGAGTAATGCTGCTGTGGGCCACCCATGTGACACCAGTCAAAAGTCTTATTCCCACCCTCTGATTCCCGCTACCCAGATATCATTTTGCCTGTGGGCTTCCAAAGCTAGCAAATGTTGAAGCAGGCTCCCCAGAGGCAGTGGCAGAGAGATTGGGGGGCCCAGCAGGGCAGACTGGGGAAGAACTCAGCCCCAAGGCTTTCACACAGCTAATTAGGCCTGGAGCCACATGCCTATTGTTCTCCAGCATTCAAGGGCAGGAACCTGATGCCAAACTGCTAGCCCACCAGTCAGAGCACACACATTCCAGAAATCTGGGCTGCCTGCCAAAGCCATCGCTGCTTGAAAGTCCCCACCTCCTGAAACCCAAACCTGGGGACCATTAGCCTGGAAGCCCTGCCTGATCACGCACTGACACCACCATGCACAGGGGGAGACATCACTCAGGTTACAGGACCTGATGCAGAGAAAAGAGGCTTAGAAATCAAAGGCCAAGGCATCTTGAATTGCACCCGAGTGGCAGGCTACCCTGAGCCTCCTCAGGTACCAGGTGGCTCTCACTGCCTTCACCTTTTGACTTATTTCTGTGGTTTCCCTAGTCTCAGCTCTGAAAAGAAAAGAAAACACTGTTGGGACACTTTTATCAGCAGTTTGGTCATGCTGTCAGACAGTCAAAGTTTATTTGGGGTTTGTTGAGTTTGAGACTTTTTCCCCTCCCCTTGACAACTGTCACATGTACTTGACCTTCATTTCCAAGTAGTATAGAAATTTCCTTCTGTCTGGTTGGGGGAAAGCAAACTTTCGTTACTTTTAAATCTCATCTAATTTAATATTAGTATAATATGCCCCAGGAGAGCCCTTTATCACTATTGAGGAACCCAGGAGGGCCCCTGAGCTTTGCACTCAGAAAAAGAGGGGGGATGGAAGATGTTAAGAAAGCTATAACATGAGAACAAGTAATTACCCTGAAAGTTTTCAAAAACTGTCTTTTCCTACATCTCAAAACGTTGATTTCCTTTCTCTCTTGACTGCACTTGAATTTCAATGCACCCGGGTCTTACAAGAAGGGAATCATCTATGACCCCCCGCCACCACACTTCAGAGGATTTTTTTCTCATCTTCCTACCATGCTCCCCTTTATCTCTGAAGTAGCATTTGACACTGTTGAATGTTCCTCCTCCTCCTACCCTGACTTTTCTTTCTACTTTTCCCGACACTCCTCTCTGCTGATTCTTTCATGTTCCCATCCCAAC